CCCAGCAGGAACTCATTAGCATAATAGGCCACACCCAACAGCAGAAACTCATCAGGATTGGCTACATTAGGGGTGTGTGGCCTAACATGCAAAGGAGTTCCTGCTACAAAAGAGCCCTGGGTTTTGACAGCAAAAAAGGTAAACAGAATAAGAAGCAAAAGGTGGGTGTGGCTGGATCAATTCTGATATCATGGGGGTGCGGTCTAATGCGCTAATGAGCTGTGCTGTTAGGGGTGTGGCCTAATATGCTAATGAGTTCCTGCTGTTGGGTGTGGCCTATTATGCTAATGAGTTCCTGCTGGGCTTTTTCTACAAAAAAGAGCCCTGGTCAGGAGGATTCATTGTTCTGAACAATTCAGATTCTGAGATTTTTTTCATTCAGGTTTCCACCCCCTCCTGGTCAGTACAAAGGTAAATGCTAAAAACTGCACTCTTTAGAGTTTACATCAGCGGGAAATATTTATAAGCAACCTTTGTCTCCTGGTACCTCAAAAGCAGAAAATTTGATAGACAGGTTTGTGAACATATGGGAAAGAGGGAGGGTCAGAAACCAACAACTGAAAGGATTGGTGCTGAACCATATGAACCCAATCAAAATTTGGAAGGGAGTAAAACTCATAATTATTCACAGATTTCTGAATTTAGGGGAATAATTTTTGATGTACCCCATTTTCACAATTCTCCATCATTCTTTGTAATTAAGGTTTCTTTTATAAGAGAGATATTCCATTTTCAGAATTCTGAAAGTTTAGACCAGGAATATGTAGACATGCTTGTTTTACTTGTAGAGGAAGCCAATCTACATTCCATAATGTGGGAAGAAACCCTAACTACTTTGTCAACTCTTAGGACTCACAATAAAAATGAAATTTTATTAATAAACTTACTCTAAAGAATAGTTAATACTGGTCTCCACACCGGTATCGGCATGTCCTACTGGTTCAACTCTGCTGCTTTCCTCTTCTGTCCCATCTTCTTCCTAGAAAAAGAGGTTACATAATTTAAGCATCTGAATTTCAAATGGTAGAAAATGCATACAGATGATAAATACGTACTTTCAGCTATCAAAAATTGGACTTGAATCACCCCTCAAAAGTATGGTTTGGCAAGATCACTCAGATTTAGAAGAAATTTTCTGTAGTATTCATCCTCACAACAGTTGAAACTACTTCATAAAAACTGTGTGTGAATATTAGAGAAATGGCCTAGGCAGTATTAACTGAATTTAGGGGATAAAGTGACAGATTGCAGTCAATTTGAATCCTAGCAAAACATTACAAGAAGGCATACTTGTTTCAAGTCTGAGATATGCCCCTTGTGGAAAGAATATCCCCTCCTCCACATAGAATAACCATACACCTCTAGCCATATGGGTGATATATGCACAAACACAGAGGTCAACACGGATACAAGCCTAAAGTTATTAAAACATGTAGAATCAAAAATGTGGGATGACAGAACTTTAAACTTGAGAAAATCATTCATTTCTTCCTAGATTCTGGTGCCTTTGTTTACAAAAAATGGAGGATGCTTTAAAGGGCAAGGTACCTGGTACAAAACCAAGTTTCTAGACACTTGTTGTTGTTGTTGTTGTTGTTCGGTCATACAGTCAAGTCCAACTCTTCGCGACCCCATGGACCACATCACACCAGGCCCTCCTGTCTTCCGTTGGGCTCTGGAGTTTGCTTAATTTCATGTTTGTTGCATTGATAACACTGTTTAACCATCTCATCCTTTGCTGTCCCCTTCTTCTTTGGCCTTCAATGTTTCCCAGCATCAGGGTCTTCTCCAGTGAGTGCTCCCTTCTCATTTGGTGGCCAAAGTATTTGAGCTTCAGCTTCAGTATCTGGCCTTCCAGGGAACAGTCAGGGTTGATTTCTTTTAGGATTGACTGATTTGATCTCCTTGCAGTCCAAGGGACTCTCAAGAGTCTTCTCCAGCACCATAATTCAAAAGAATCTATACAAATAAAGTTTTTCTCAGGAGGCTCATGGGACAGTTTTGGTCATCATAAACCTGATCATTGTAAGTTTCTAACTGCGTGCCCAGAAGCAAGTGTCCCACTAATTTCCCTGTTTAGTCTCTGTGCCAAAATCAAAGTCCTTTAATATTCTAAATTGGTCAAGAACAAACAGCCTTAATGTTTGTAACCTTCAAGGGTCTGGCTTTGCATGATGCCAGCAAAAAAGAAGATGACTTTCCTGGTAGTTTGTGTCCTGACTATGTAATGTCCCCTATAATATGCATCTCTGTGGCGGTAAGGGGCTCTTTTAAAAGAAAAAGAAAAAAAGAAGAAAAAAGAAAACCCAGTCCCACAGTAAATTTGTTCTCCCACACATTCTGTTGATTTGACTGTGTTTGCTGAATTTTTAGTCTGCCTATTCTGATTGGCAGCAGACCTTCAGGATTTCGGATAGCCTTTTGCATCATGTGCTACCTTACCCTTTTAACTGGAGATGCCAGGAATTGAACCGGAGATCCTCTGCATGCAAAGCAAATGTTCTACCACTGAGCCGCCACAGTGCCTCCTCAATCCCAGACCACAGAATGCATCCAACTTACTTCAATATTCTCACAAAGGGTTAAAAGTAGCTTACTTACATGTCATGTATTTATGCTTCTTTTTTTACTTGAGAACTGGGAGGACAGTAAACAAGGAGATCACACACTGAAGCAGGCAGCATGGCATTATTAACTGTATCATTTCATAGAAATGTGTGCCTTTAATTGCTCACGTTCCCTCATCACTAAAGCGTTGCATCGTAACAAGCGAGTCTGAGAGCACAGACTTAGATTAGTCCATAGGCTGAGGCATCAATCAGCAGAATAGTAAGTGATGGGTGAAGGGTTATGAGTTCAGCACAGAGAGAGTCAGACAATATATTAAATTATTGAAGAGATATTAAAGCAAGGCAAAGGCAGAGTTGGTAATGTCCAATTGACATTTCCTCTGAGAGTCTGAACAAATAAGGAGCTGGATGTACCAAGCTTTCCCCAGGACTTGTGGATGCTTCATGCGCCCTGGATAGCAGCTCACTGCGTGAAGCCAAGCTACTTGAAGATTGATGATCTCGTGCTTTGAGAGGCTCTAATATGCACTTCTTAGTCATCTATCTCTCTTAAGCATCAGGCAAGTAATACGTTTCAAAGGTTAACCAGCATCTTGAACTTGCCTACAACTTGCATTAGGAATGTAAATACAAACTCAAAATTAGGTATTTGTGCCATCTTTTTTTTAACTCAAAATTAGGTATTTGTGCCATCTTTAAAAAAAAAAGAGTGTTCAAACACAAAGAACAACAAACAGTTCTAGCTGATTTCAGAAGTATTGATCACAGAGCACGTGTGCATTAGAATTAGGTCCATTGGGCATAACTGAAAACAACATAAAATATTTAAGGATAATGACAAAAGCCTCACAAGAACTCTCCCCACCGCTCCCCCTGGATATTAAGCTTCTAGGGGTGCCTCTAACAAATGGAAGAGTAGATGATTTTCCTTTCGACCAGCAACAAAACTCATGAAATATTACCATTGTGTCCTGGGTATCACAAAAAAATCTTTTCAAGGGTGCTGGCAGAACAGGGAGTCTGAAAACCTCTCATGAGCATCTGGATCTGCTGAACGTAACTGGAAATACAGTTGCATTAACAGGATTTTCTCCACTTCCCCATTGCAGGATATACAATTTGTGGGAACGGAGTTCCTGGAATGTTGTTCTCCTCCTCCTCCCACCAATGCTTCAGGGTATCAGAAGGAGAAAGAAGCAGTTCCAAAAATGCAGCCTTCAGCAAGAGAATCAGAATCACACATGTAAACCCAATTGCTGGGTGCAAGGAATTTGCACACAACCTAAGCGTGCCATTCCCCAGGTACAGGTGGGGGATACCCACTTTTGCAGGCTCCTGCCTACCGCAGACCAGCTGGCCAGCAGGAGGAAATTCCCCCCACCCCAACAGCATCATCCTGCACGATCCACTGACGTCACCCGGAAGTGACGTCAGCACGTCAGTGATGTTGGGGGGTAGGCACTCTGCTTTTTGAGCAATATTCTATGGTTTGAGGTCGCTTTTACCATAGAGTCTTGCCTAAAAAGCAGAGTGTCGCCCCTGACACCACTGACATGCTGACATCACTTCCAGGTGATGTCAGCACATCATGCAGCGCCCCACCCACTCCCGGAATGCCCCCTAAAGCCCCCTACGGGCGAGACAGAGTGACCTGACCATCCAAACACAACCACTCTGTGACTCCTGATAACACGCAGTTGAATTCAGCATATGACGGGATATCATGGTGCCAAGCATTCCCAGCATCACTGGCTGATGCCTGGAAGCACAGTGCAATAATGTCACACTGCTTGTCATTTTCAACTACATATTACGAGGTTGGATGGAGAGGTCTTCTAGCATCTAGACTGGGGTCCCACACACACACCTTTACTGTTGCCCGAGTGTTTTCAGCAAGTGGGCAGGGCCAAATGGATCTTTCACCCAGCAGAGCATCCTATTGGTGTACAGATTTTGAAAAAGGTTGCTTTGGCAGCACCTGCCACCACAACACAAGTATCTTCAGTGTTTGGCTGAAGGTATATAAAAATGTATATAAGCAAAAATAAATAAATAAAATATGTTCATTTTAAGAGGCATCCTTCTGAACAGAGCTTATGCCAGAAATGTTAAAGAGTTACTATTAGAGTTATAAACCTGACTCCCTGACATTTTGCAGTTAGCTCTGCCCCTTTTGGAAGCCATTTACAGCCCAACACCCTGTGTTAGAATTCCAAAGCTGCCCACAAATGCACAAGGTTGGGGACCCCTAATCTAGATAGACCATGAGATCTGGAAGCTATCAAAATGGAATTTAGACATCCTGGTGTAATGGAACATGGCCCTTGTTTAGAATTCAATTCTGTAAGCATTCACCTTGGGGGGGGGAAGCCCCTCTGTTTTGCCAGCCTTCTGGGAAGTATCTTAATTTCAATACTATAGTACCTTGGGATAGTCCCCATTGCAGCTGATATAGATTTAATTGGGATTTTTAACATATACATAGATTATTTATGACAATGATATCTTGGCACTGCTTTAAGCACCATACTTAAAAAAAAACCTAAATACTTATTAGGACCATATCTACAATACCATTGGAATTTTGAAATATAATTCCTTTTCAAAAACCATACTTCTGTAGGGGAAAACCATGTTTTTCTCCCAAATTTTAATAGCTCTAGAAAAACGTATATTCATTCAATTTGGTTCTGGTAATCTTATGAATCCCAAAATTACATTTTTCACGTATGTTCACAGAGTAAAAGAAGTGTCTAAACTTCACTAGAGCATTGGTATCAGCATGCTATAATCAACAGATGTGTCCTTTTAAAAAAAACCTTTAATATTTCAGTAATCAGGCACACATTTCTTCCCCATGTAACACAGACTTTCATTTACATGGAACCAAACGTAGATTAATTTGGACACCTGCGGAGGGAAGTAACTCAGAATTCTCATTTGCTAAAAAAAGTAACCAGCTTTGAAAGTATTTGCATCAAGTAATTATTGCCTTGGTTTTCTTGTTAAATTAAAAATCCCACCTGTTACTGAGGTAAAATTAGAAAACGGTATACTTTATTTAGGGGCTTGAGAAGCTTCTAGAACCAATGATATGCAAATCTAAGCTGCCTATACTGTACAATCATTGCACTACATAAAGAAACCACTTTTTCATAGCTGCGGGGGTTACGTGGCATATTATTGTAAATTATCCCCCTGCCACTGAGAGCAAGAAAATATATTTCCCATGATCAGTTTAAACAACAAGGAATTGAAGTGCAAGAGTTGGGAAAGGTGTGAAGGTGTGACTGAGTTCTGGCTTTTAGAGAATTTGGCAACCTGCAGTGGGCCTGGCTCAAACAGACTCATATGAAGGAGGGGAGTCTGAACAAACTACACAAAGGTCCAGGATCAGAGTGTAGCCTGA